ATTAGGGTGTGGTAAAAAGGACCAACTTTTACAATGGCAAATTAAGTAAATTTAGTTTAAAAAAAAAAACAAAATTTTGCAAGAGATAAATTAAATCAATAGCTACGTCAATTCTGCTGATGAATATTTTTGACGAAATTTTGACGATCAAGGTTATATACCGTGTTACCTTTGTAAAAACTGTACCCATGAAATTTATATTTTGCATTGGTTGAATAATGTAGTTATTATTTTTGTAAAATTAAAAAGAAGACATAGGATCTTTTTATCCCCTGGCAGTACCATTTCTTCCCGCTTAAGGGGTAAAAAAGGACAGGTGAAATTTTTTAAAAAGTAGTAAAAAAAACAAAATTTTATATTTAGGAATTAACTGGGAATTTTACTGAATATAGTTCGATAGTTGATTGTATGATACGTGTTATGTGTAAATTGACAAATGAAAAAATAATGCGAGAGAAACGGTTCGGTCACATTTTATATTGCTCTTAAGGGGCACAACTAGTGTAACCGCCTAAAAAAAAAGTGATTTTTGGGAATTTATATTTGAAAAAATACTTTGTCAATCATTTCAAAATTTTAAGAATATATTTACACATGTTTTAAGAATACATAGCAAAATTTTTGAAGAAAAAAATTAAATATTTTTTAAGTTAACGTCGATCTCCAACGACGCGAAAAAAAGTCTCTTCACTGCTGCAGTGATTCCGGCCTTCTACGTGGATGAAATTTTAAAAAATAAATCTTAATAAACTAGTCAATATTGTCTGTAAAATGACCTACGATAGAGAAAAAAAACAAAAATTGACAATATGGCGGCGTTTTAAAAAAAAGTCGAATTTTACTCAAAATTTCGTTTTTAGACTGCCAAATTTCGATTTTTGATCCGATCAAAAAATAGTTTATTTTACGGAGAACTATATATAGAACATGTAAAAAAAATTTGATAGTGATCGGATCATTTGTTTTTGAGTAATCGCTGCAGCAAATTCGGAAAATGCTGTTTCGAGAAAAAATAATCGTTATACTATATATATATATACTCTTTAAATGTCTGTATCTCAAAATCTATTTAAGATATCGATTTAAAATTTTGGTATGTTATTTTTAAAGGTGTAACCTATCGAAATATGGAAAAATTGAAAATTCGATGTTTTGAAAATTTTACATTAGTTGTGCCCCTTAATTTAATATTAACAGACAATTTTATAATTTGTTAATAGCTATTATATTTTTTGAGAAATGAGATATTTTCTATAAAAAAAAATTTTGTGAATCTTGTAATAATGAAGTGCATGTAGTGTTTGTGTAGTAGCAGGGTAAGTATTAATTGATTATTTATAACAAAGTTTTCTTTATTGTTTTCACATACATTTTATGATTATAATTATTTTTATTTGGCTTGATTTGACTTTAATATATTTTTATTCATATTTAACTATATTATTTATGCTTTAATATATTTTATTAACATTTATATCTTTATTGTTCTTTACATTTATTCTGTTGTATATATTTATATCTATATGAGGAATGACACATTTTAATAAGTTTTATTTATGAAGAGTTTTATTTATAAGTTATTTTTCAAAAACTTCAAAGTTTTTGAAAATTCCATTACAAATTTGAGTACAGAAACACTCAAATTCGAAAAATTAAGTATAGACTCCAATACACAGCAAAATAAGTTTTATTTTTAACACACACTATAAATTAACTTTGTGATATTTTTATCTCAACCCATCCCTAATCTTCTCCGGTAGCGCGTTCTCTATGATTCACATCAGCAAATTAAGTGTTTTCAAGACTTGTTCAGGATAATCCGAAGTTGAACTGTGTGGATCATCCTTGACATGTGACTTCTGAAGATCTACATAGATCTCGTACTTTGGGTGGGAGATCTATTCGGAAATGGTCACTAAGTCTGTTCTTCTAGGTCTGCATCTACTACTCCCTTTCGCCAGCTTTGCCCCTACCAAATACAGGTGTTGTTGGTTATCTTCGTATATAAGCAAGTGGATGGTAACGGTAAGGTATCAGTTCATACATTCTAGTTTGGACTATCTCAAAAATGAAGGTAAATAATAGAATTTTATTTTTGAGTTTTAATTAAAAACGCATATCTATTAACAAGTTAAGTGATTTTTAGAAAACATTGGTAATAATTGGTGAATCGAAGTGCTGTGCTGCCAAATATACGATATATTTGGAAATATCATTTGTCCCTCTAATTTATTTATATCTATACAAAATGCATCAGTATAAAAATGTATATTTTAACCGTTAACAGTTAAATGCAGTATTTTTAATAGATTGTAAATAATCTGTTGTTTTACTCCTGAAAAAGGCCGTTATGAATAATTTTTTAGCAAAAGCGTCAATAATAATTAAAAATTCATTCATAAAATATAAATATGTTATATCAAACCGAATTTTATTTTTGAGTAGTGAAAAATTAATTAGACAAAACAAATAAAAATTAAGAATTTACACAAATTTTTTTGAAAAGATCACAAAATTGTTTGTAATCAAATAAAGCATCACAAACAATTCAAGCTTTCAAAGAAGTTTGTGCAAATTAGTAATTCTTATTTGTTTTGTCTATTAATTAAAATTAATTTATGTCTGGTCAAAAATAAAATTCGGTTTGATATAACATATTTGTATTTTATGGATGAATTTTTAACTATTATTGACGCTTTTGCTCAAAAATTATTCAAAACGAAATTTTTCAAGAGCAAAACATCAGATCATTTACAAATTATTAAAAAATACTGCATTTAACTGTTAATGGTTAAAATATACATTTTTATACTGATGCATTTTGTATAGACATTTTATAAACTTGTTAAAAAATATTTATACCAAAATCATTACCAAGTAGCTGTTAAAAAATTGTCGTCGTAATTTTAATTTTTTTTATGTTTAATTAATTTATGTCTGTTCAAAATTAAAATTTGATGTGAATGCTATACTTTTTGTCTTTTATAAAATGAATTTCTAATTTTAATTTACGTGTTAGGAAAAAAATAATAGGAAAAGCATATGATCTGCTTCATTTATTTACAATTCATTAAAAATACATATTTGCATTTTACTGTTTTCAAATATACTTGACACATTTTATAGAAACATCTTGTAAATTTGTTGCTCACAAAATATTTATAACAAACTCGTTACAAATTAGCTTTTAAAGAAATTTGTGCTAAATTGTATTTTTTTTTTGTTTAATTAATCCATGTATGTTCAAAATTAAAATTCGATATGATATTCTTACTTTTTGTCTTTTATATATGAATTTCTAATTTTAATTTACGCGTTAGGAAAAAACAATAGAAAAGGCATATGATCCGCTTCATTTATTTACAATTTATTAAAAATACATATTTGCATTTACATACATAAATACACATTTTGTAGAGACATCTTATAAATTTGTTGCTTACAAGATATATATCACAAAATCTTTATAACAAATTCATTACAAATTGGATTTTAAAGAAATTTGTGCTAAATTGTAATTTTTATTTCTTTTGTTTAATTAAATTGCCTGGTCAAAATAAAAAATCGATATGATATGCTATACTTTTTGTCTTTTATAAAAGAATTTCTAATTCTAATTTACGCGTAATCTCAAAATTTATTTCAAACGAAGATATGATACACACTTATTTACAATTTAGAAAAAATACATATTTCACTGTTTTGAAATATACATGATACATTTTGTAGAGAAATTTCATAAATTTGTTGCTCACAAAATAGATATCACAAAATCTTTATAACAAACTCGTTACAAATTAGCTTTTGAAGATTTTTTTTTAACTCTGTTTTAAGATATTTGTGCTAATTTGTAATTTTCATTCCTTTTGTTTAATTAAATTATGTCTGGTCAAAATTCAAATTAGGTTCAATTTAATATACTTCTTGTCTTTTATGGATCGATTTCCAATTTTTATTTTTGCTTCTACTCAGAAATTATTCAATACGACAATTTTCCTGAGCAAAACATTAGGAAGAGCATATGGTCTCTCTTCATTTGTATACCTAAAAATTATTAAAAATACATACATGCATTTCACTGTTTTACAAAACACATTTTTGAACCGAAATTTTTTACAGACTTAAAATTATGAACTTCTTCGCAAAATAGGTTTTACAAAACAAAACAGTTTATCTAACTAATTTATTTAGCAACGATTTATAACAAAATGAATTTATTTATTTTTATTTGCATAGTTTTATTGTCAATCAAAATAATATACATTTTTTAATACAATGTGCTGTAATGTTAATGCATTTAAGAGATTATCTCCTATGAGATATCTCTCTTTTTTTTGGCATTTTATTTAGATCGTAAGACCATTTTTTCTTCAATCTTCGTGTGGGATATTCCTCGCTTAATTTTTTTAAATATATGTTTGGGTGACCTGGTAGTTTTTCGTGGTATTTTTTGCTGCTTTCTTTTATCATTTCATTAATAGTTTTTATTTTTAGGTCTTTATGTAGGGTGTCATTTGTAACATACCAGGGTGCGTTCACAATGGATCTTAAAATTTTCGATTGCGCTGCTTGTATTTTTTTATATTTGAATTGCTTGCGCGCGCCCATAGCTCAATGCCGTAGGTCCAGATTGGGATCATTATAGTTTTATATAAAAGGTGTTTGTTTTCATAGCACATATTTGAACTCCTGCTAATTAGCCAATACAACTCTTTGAACTTCTTCTCCATCTATTTTGAACATTTTGATGTGAATAACAAAATTAAAAAATTAAATTTTAACACAATCGTGACCTATATTATATATTTGTTTATGATATTTTATTTCAGCATTGAACTACTAAAAATATATTTCAAATTTCAATATTTAATATTAAATGCCTGACATAAATTTTGACAAACATCATTTTTTTAACTAATAATAATTCATTTATCAATATTAATTAATTTATTTAATTAAAATAATAATTAATTTATTATTATTTCAATATCCTTTCCCAGGTTTTCGTTTGCTTACTGGCGTTGGCCGCCGTGGCTAGCGCAGGCTACATTAGCTCTGGCTGGTCCAGCGGAGGAGGCGGCGGCGGCTGGTCCGGCGGCGGCGGAGGCGGCGGCTGGAAAAGCGGAGGAGGATGGTCCAGCGGCGGACTCAGTGGATGGTCCGGCGGTGGCGGTGGTGGATGGAAGAGCGGAGGTGGCGGTGGATGGTCTAGTGGCGGAGGAGGTGGTGGATGGAAAAGCGGTGGCGGAGGGGGATGGTCCGGCGGCGGACTCGGTGGATGGTCCGGCGGCGGCGGCGGAGGAGGATGGAAATCAGGCGGAGGCGGCGGTTAGTAAAAAAAAATTAATATTTGGTAGGCAAGAATCAAAGCTATGGAATTTAAGTAATGATGTAACTTAGTGTTATATAATTGCTTCATATTTAAAAACGTATAGAATAGCATAAAAAAACAAAGTTGAATGTCGTTGATTAATAACGTATTATGTTTGTTACCAAGAATTTTTAATTTGTTTAAAAGATTTTTTGAAGAGTACATGGTAGCAGGAGCTTGCATGACAAATTCGGGCACAGTACTCTGTGAATTGACGTATTTTAGATGACCACGAGTACCAATTATTTTTTTTTATTTCATTTTATTTTAGCAATCAGAAATACAAAAATAATTGACCTAAACTGTACATTTAAATAAGTATGATATTATATAAGATAATCCAGTGATATATCTTACTTAGTTTACATAAAATCTGCAACTATTGGGTTTGGGTGGGTCTCTAATTTATTCCTATCGATTAAGGCACATTCTTGTATTGTTTGCCGAACTGTTAACATTTTCAGCTCACATGGTGCGTTTAGAATTGATCTTAGAATTTTATTTTGCATTCTTTCTATTATTGCAATATTTTATTTTGAAGCAGTGCTCCATAACTCTACGCCACACATCCAAATTGGTTTCATTACACACTTATACAATAGTAATTTGTTTTCTGCAGATAATTTAGAATTTCGGTTTATTAGCCAATATAATTCTTTCATTTTCTGTTTAATTTGATTCTTTTTTTTAATATGATGTCTCCATGTTAATTTCTTATCTAGATACATACCCAAATATACAAGTACCAATTAATAAAAATGTTTTGAGTCAATAAAAATGAATTAGTGAAGTACTCACATGAAAAATATAAAGAAATAAATTCACTTAATTTGAACTAAAATATTTGCCACTTTGTAGTTTTATATATTAATTTTCACTAAAATGTATTTACTAAAATAATAAAGAGTACTTTCATCATTGACTGAAGATGAAAAAAATTACGAGTTGAAATTAAACTTGCAAACGTTTCAAGCCTTGATTCGACTTATTTTCAATATTTTACCACATTGCAAATAATCAATATAAATTAAAATTTAGAAAACTTTTCAAATTGCAACGATAGAGTTTCGAAATTGTCCAAAAGTCGTGGTCCAATATCCCATACTTAAAGAATTTTTTATGGTTCAATCGTTCGTAGGTTTGTTACATTTATAAATTACCCAGTTATTTTGTTTGTTTATAAATTACATGATTACATTGTAAATTTGACAAGTTTTAAATTCTATTTTTATTTTATCAATTTCAGGCGGCTGGTCCGGCGGCGGTGGTAGCGGTGGTACGTAGCATTTTATATTATTTTATATAGTTAAAAAAGTTTAAAATGCTTTTAAAAGATGAAAAATTAATACATATATGTAAATAAATCTAAAATGTAAATTTGAATGTGTTTAATTTTTGCAGGTGGTGTTAAAATCATCAAAATCATAACCACCGGAGGCGGCGGTAGTGGCTACGGAGGCGGCGGCTGGAGCAGCGGCGGTGGTGGAGGCGGATGGAAGTCAGGCGGAGGCGGAGGCGGTTGGTCAAGCGGTAATATTACATAATAAATGATGATACTGACTTTGTTTTTTTTATTAATTATACTACACTATATGCATAAAATGATAATAATATTTAGATAAATCATAATAAATTTGCGAAATAAGTAACAATAACCAAAACTCTATACCTCATACTTAAGACGTTATTGCAATCAACTGCTAAAAAGTAGAAAATCAGATTTTTTATATAAGAAATTTTTTACGAAGTAATAAAAATGTTACGAGTCAATAAAAATGAATTGATGAAGATGTTAAATACATAAAAAATATATAAAAGTAAATAAACTTAATTTGAACTAAAATATTTACTAGTTTGTAATTGTATATATTAATTTTTAGGCGGAGGCGGCGGTGGATGGAAATCAGGAGGAGGAGGCGGAGGTAAGCTTTATACATTTTATAAATAAAAATCAGTATCACAACTTTACCATAACATAAATTAAATTAAATATAAATTTTAAACATATTGCTCATTTTTAACATATTTATAACGTTTTTATCATTATTAACAATAATCATTTTTTGTCATCAATCCTAAATTAAATCAATCAATCAATGTCTATTAAACTTTCTAACAATTTGTTTCTTTTATTACAGGTGGCTGGTGGTAATAATTGAAAAAAGTACCATCAGTTCAACCGCGAGCCCACTGTAAATTTTGTAAAAATTCTTCATTTGTAAATATTTGTTTAGTGAAATAGTGAGAACACAGTATTCTACATTTTATATTGGATATAAAATTATTTTTAAATAAATTATTTACAAAATTTATATTGTCTGTTTTTATTATAAAAAGAATTTATTTTTACTTCAAATATTAGATATTATTGATAAATATAAGATGGTAACCTAAAAATCTCCTCAATTTTTTTTTCAGTCGCAATTAACAAGAATAAGTTTGAATAATGTATTGAGGTGATTTGATACCAGTGCAATTATACTGTTATAGATTAATAAAACTTTTATACATATTTTTAATGTCGTAATCATGATAATAACAGTTATTAAAAGTTTTCGTGCAGTCGTAAGGTTTTGTAAGATATAAACTTTTGACGCCCAATCAGTTTGTAATTGAAAAAAAAGGTTCTAAAACATTTTTGCAACTTAAATTAATTATTCTAAAATGAAATTGAGTAAATTAATCAACTAAAAATAAAATTAATTAGTAGTACTATAATAACTTTTACATTTGTAGGTTTTATCTTCATTTTAATTCCATAATATGGGTATAAGTATATGCAGAAATAAAAGAATATACTTAATGAACAAATAAAATGTATTAAGAAGTTATACAACTGCTGCATTCAAAATGAACAATATATTCGTTCAAGTTAAACAATTTTAGTTATAATGATTATATTTTTGAATAATAATAATTATAAGCGTTACAAATGACCATGAGAATTTGATATGTTACTACATTTTTCTCTAAATATATCACTAAAACTAGTGGGGCGCATGGCATCGTGCCTTAAAACAAATTGCTGGAACTTCCCGTACCAAAAAAAAATTTTTTTAAAAAGATTAACATTTTTGAAAAAAAATTACTGTAAAAAAATTAGATTTTTGAGAAACTATAAATTTTCGACAAATGAAACTATAAATTTTTGATCAATACGAATCTAATGTTCTTTGAATTATTCAAATCGCTTCATCCGTGTTTCCGAAATCGTCGACAAAAATTTGTATCCGCACACACACACATACATCCATTTTTTCTAAGGTATGCCAAAATGTTCAGAAGGCTTTGAAACGTAAAGATATATAAAAATTTTTATTTTCTATTTTTTGCGATTACTATAACTTGCCCTACGGGAAGTTAATAATAATTATTATAGACATTACAAATGAGAATTTGATATGTTACAGAATACTTCATTTTTTGTGTAAATATATTACTAAAATGAATAAATAAAATGGTTTATGCATGAAAAAGCCATCCCTTATATCACTCATCAAGAAAACAAACTAAAAAATATTCTGTTATAAACTTTAAATATTTTTAAACTTTATATTAGGTTCAGGTAGATGCAAAATAGAACATAAATTATATTCTAACAAATGTTCTGTTGCAGAATTTATAAGACTTTTAATCGATCTCGATGAACTTTCTTTTCAGGTTCACAATTTTGGCTTAAATGTATCAATTTAAATTTTAAGGGACCATAATTTCGATAGTTCCTTGAATAAATAAATACACATGTATCAATTAAACAATAAAAGAAATAAAACGGTTCAGTTTGAGAACCTTTGATTTGAGTAAAAAGCCGTCATATTGCATACTGAATATGTTGTCACAATTCTTCTATCTTCTACATAAGTTGCATATCAATACTTCACCATGTTGACCGACGTAGTAAAACTCGAATTAACTATTTGGAATGCATATTTATTTTGGCCAAAAACAACTAATATTTTCAAACTATATCTTTACAATTTTGGCACATTCATCATGCTTATTTTAAATGTCTGTGTATACATAACAACTATGGGAATAAGCGCAATGCAAACCAGTAATTTGGACGAATTAGCCGAATCTTTGTTTATGCTTCTGACACTAATTGCAATGATTCCTAAATATCTGACAATTATTGGCAAACGCAAAGAAATCCAAAAATTGATTGTTCTTCTGGATTCAGACAGCTTGATTCAAGATGGTGATGATGATGTCAAGAAAATGTTGAATGATAGCATAAAAATTGGAAAACTTAATACCAGATTTTTTCTTTCTGTATCACTATCTACTGTTGTTCTGATTTATGCATTACCATTCATGGATATAACTCAAAGAAGGTTGCCATTGCCTGCTTACTATGGAGTCGATCATACATTGTTTCCTTGGTAAAGTATCAATATTATTTAAACAATAGAAAATTATGAATTTAGAAATATTATATTAGAATTTTTGAAGGAGGAAATAAAAGTTCATAATTTTTCTTCTGAAACATAATAATGATTAAAAATCTTTTAAAATCTATTGGTGTACAATTGCATTCCTTCTATTATTAAACCAAAGTGATACACATAATTATATTATAACTAATTTTTTAAAAAATACCATTTTTTGTTTTTAATGATAACCTTATTCATTAGCATAAATTTTTTCGATCTATTAATATAATTTTTCTGCAGGTTTGAAATTTTGTACCTTTATCAAACTCTTGGGATGACTGTTCACTGCATGATGAACGTAACAATGGATTCTTTTGCTTGTGGAATTTTGGCAGTTGCTGGAGGACAATTGGACGTCCTGGCTCACCAAATGCGCCAACTTGGTACTACCAATTCCAATATTAAGGAGGAGCACGTGAAAATTGAAAAATGTGTCAACTTACATCTGGTGATAGACAGGTAATCATGTATACAGTTTGTTGGCATATCTGCAAATCAGAAATAAAATTTTGCAATTTTTTTTTCAAAATATGAACTTAAGGTAAATAAGTATTTACGAATAGCTATCGATAAAGAGATTTTTTGCATATTTAAAATTTCAACCAAAATCAAAGAACAAAATCTAAGTTAGCAAATATATACTATTTTATACCAATATTCTAATATCCACACAACTTCTCAAACCAACAAATGTGAAATTACAAATTTTCCATATTTTATTGATATATTTTAATATAAATTATTATTATTTATTATTATTTTTCAGAATGCTCAAAAATGTTGAAAGCATTTTTAGAGTATCATGGTTTGTTCAATTTCTACTAAGTGGTGTAGTCATTTGCATTACTGGTTTTCAAATGTCTACGGTAAAATTTTATGACCTAATACCTAATAATTCCAAATTTAATTTATAAAAATTTATTATTATTTTACAGATATCGCCACTCAAAAATCCAACGAAATTCTTCATGCTTTTATGTTACCAGGTTGCCATGACGTTCATGGTCTTCATGTCTTGTAGATTTGGAAATGAAATTATACTAAAGGTAAAAAAGAATTTGGTCAAATTGTATTTTCAAATAGGGTTAAAATTATGATTTAAAATTATTTTGCATTATTGTTTTTAGAGTTTGAATTTGCGCGATGCTGCTTTTTCTTGCAACTGGCCAGATTTAGATCAGGATTTTCGAAAGAAAATAATAATATTTATGGAAAGCACTAAGAGACCTATAAAGTTATATGCAGGAAAAATGCTGGAACTTAGTTTGGGCACATTCACATCGGTGAGTAATAAATAGTTTGTATGTATGAAAATAAATAAATATCTTATTAATTTAATATTGCAGGTTATTAATTCCTCATACAGATATTATGCAGTTCTAAATCATATGAAGAGTTTAGAAAATTATTTGGAATAATTTTTGGTCTATGAACTTTGAAAATATGTTTAAACCATTACCTTTAAATAATTAAAGTTAATGGTTAGTTAGTATGTATACTATATTATATAAACTATAACTATAACTATATAAAGCAATAATAATTTAAATGTATCGCTATAGAATATTTATATAGAAATAGTTTTAAATGATAATGCGTCGAAATTATATATAGATAATAGTTATATTACATTATAAGTTTTAAATACTATATGTGTCTAATTATTCAGCTATAAATATATCATATTAAATGCAAAAATATTAATAATAACTTACTAGGAAACTACCTAATACCTGGTCGCTATGCAGAATTTTATTTTAAGTTATTTTTAATATTTTTGTACTTATCAATGAAATTTAGATAACAACGTTATCATGAGTAGGTACTATAAAAATACTTTCATCCAATATTAAGAAATCATTTGTGTCATTATTTAAACACCTTTAGGTGATAATTTATGTTATAAATTATAAGCATTCTGCAATCAAAGGATTTAATCATAAAATGTTGTAATATCATTAGCAAAAACTAAAACAATGAATTTTCTAATGTTAAAAACTGTCTATGATCTCTTAAATACTCTAATTATCTTTAATTTATAACTTGCACACTTAAACATGAAATTATATTGTATCATTGCCGTGGGCGTAAAGTAAATAAATAAATAAATGAATGAATAAATTTAAAACTTGATCTAAATTTTTATCTTTTGGTTGAGTTTATGTCGGTAAAGGTACGAACAAATAATTATATAAATCAAGCAATGCTAAAGAATTAGTTTCAATTAGAAATTTATGTTAGTATCAAGCTTATTCACACAGGGTGCACCTATTAAATAGGTGCACCCTACTATTATTAATAAAAATTTATATATTTATTTATAAATTATTTATTATTTATAGTTCATATATTAATTGAAAAATACTATATACTATTTCATTATAATTAGCAATATATATATTATATAAATAAGATAGTTATCTTTCGCACGTCTTATTTTTAAATTGTCTACAATTGTAGCTAAATGTTCTTTATTGTATAGATTGCAATAAAAAATAAAACAAAAAATATAATAATAATAAATAAATAAATATCAATAATAATTTACTAAATTAAATGAAATTTCTACTCAGTGCGTTCATATAAATATTTTCAGTCTCTATGAAACAATGAATTTTTTAACTTTCCGTATTCAAATTCAAAAAACATTTTACTTGTATTAACAAGATATGTCTAGCGGTTTCGGAAATCTAGTAAAAAAGTAAAAAATAATGCCATTTGGCGGTCAAAAATGATCATTAGACTTATGCACATCAAATTATCAGATATTTTATGAAAATTTTAACAATAAGTATAAATTTTGTTTACATTCCTATGGATTCCGTGCCAGTGTTTATCCGTTAGACGACGCGGCGCTTCGATATTTCGTCTCCATGCAGTTAAAGCAGTACGATTGCTTTGAAAAAAAGTTCAGAATTTCCAAAATATTTCAAAACAAATTTTTCTTCAAAAAGTCTTTTTTTTCAATAAAAAGTAAATTTTTGTCAAAAATTTATAGTTTCTCAAAAATTTAATTTTTTCAGAGTAAATGTTTTTCAAATATGTTAATCTTTTTTAAAAAAAAAATTGGTACGGGAAGTTCCAGCAAATTGTCTTAAGGCACGATGCCATGCGCCTCACAAGTTTTTATTTTGGGCTTCATTCTCTTTGGCTCCGAAACCATTGAGTATAACATGCGTTCAACCTAGGTTCGCCGTAGCTGATACGGTTGCGCCTCTTGTCGTATGTTAATAAGTCGGAGATTGCGGGTTCGAATCCTCTGAAGACCCAAAAATTTCTGCGAAATATTATTAAATGCTTGCTATGATGCTATCCATGGGTAATTTGCGACTGAGACATGTCTCTGACGATAAACTATAATGGACTGAGCGAGTTTAATTTTTATAATTTTTGAGACTTATTTGCTCGATTTTGAATATTTTTATTATGTATGATTATAATTACTGAAAAAACAAATTGTCTCAAACAAATGACAAAACTAGTGGGGTGTATGGCATCGTGCCTTAAGGCAAATTGCTGGAACTTCCCGTACCGTAACGAAATGTTCGAGGAATATTAAATGCTTTCAAATAGACTATTATAAATAAATACGGTAACATTGTCTAATATTTATAAGAATTATATATTGTATAATTATTTGTTTAAAGTATATTAGAACTTTAGGCAGAATTAAAATAAAATTTTATTTGAAAAAAAATGAAAAAAAAAATTTAAAACAAAAATTTGTTTTTCTAAAATCAATTATTTTGTTAAAACAAGCAGAAAGTTCTTTCAATCATTTAAATCCGACGCTTAGTTCTTTCAAAAACTGCTATTTTTTGCACATTTAGCTCTGTATTATCGAAAGGGCTGGGCCTGCTTTTGCCAAAATCTAATCATCTCTTCTCCCAATCATTACAAATTGAATGTTTTTTAGATCATTCAAATCGGATGCTCTGTTTTCTCAAAAACTCGATGCTGGATCTTCCTTTACCAAAAACTAATCAGCTCATCTCCCTATCAATAGGAATCGAATGTTTTTTAACCATTCAAATCGGTTTTTTAACCATTCAAATCGATCCGTGCGCCCGAAAACGTGACTGGAAAATTGTATTCATACATACGTACACACACACACACATCCATTTTTTCTGAGGTATGCCAAATTGTTCAGAAACCTTCAAAACGTCGAGAAATGCAAAAATTTTCAATTTCGATTTTTGGATGATTACAATAACTTACCCTATGGGAAGTTAATACTATAACTTACCCTACGGGAAGTTAAAAAATTATATGATTATTAAGGAGAATACGAACTTATGACAATATGTGATTAAAGAATATAATAAATGCATTTAAGAAAATAATTATATTCTGTAATCACGCATTGTCGTAAGTATCATGAATAACAAATTAACAATAATACTTTTTTGAGTTCATTCTTCGAGTTCAATACAACACAAACATAACCAAGACTCATCAATATAGATTTCTTGAAGAATAATTTCAAAAAAATCCTTGTATTTAAATATTATTGTAATAATTTTGTAGTGTTATTTTAGACATTTTCTAACAGTTAACATTTGAATATGTAAAATTAATCTAGTACATAAGTAAGATGAAAAAATAAATAGTAAATTATAATTCTTTATCATTTTTAGTAATTGTTTTTCTATAATATATGTATATTGTTTTTTAAGAAAAATACTGTGTTTCTTCAGGTTTTCTGTAAAGTATGCATAAGGTATATTAGATAATATAATAATATAATATAATAAATATGTTATTATGAATAAAAAAAGGCAAAAATACACAATAATATATATATATATATATATATATATATATATCAAATCAAATTTATTTAGTTATTTAATAACATTAAAACACTCATTTACAATTTTTATATATTTTTTTATTTATTTATTTGATATAATTCATACATACTGTATCTCAGTCAGACAATTGTTCTGGCATGAGAGATCACAGCAATTATAACAAAAATAAAATCTAAATTTTATGTAACAGACTTACATTAAGACATATATTTTTACTTATTACTATTATACACACACACATATATTGTTTCTTCTTATATAAATTAAATTTTGGATGCAAAAAGTAAACCAAACCTGTTGACTAAATATAAAATATAATATATGTTGATATATAATTGTATGATATATAATTGTATAATAATAAATATTGCTTTTCTTCAACTTATGCATTTTATACTATATTTTTCAATATATTTTTTTATTTATAAACGTTTATGTGATTACTACTTATTTATTTGTGTATTAATAATCATGTAATATATTATTAAAGGTAATGTACTATATATTATCAATTATACAACTAAATTTAATTGTAATTTTTTAGTATAATATTCTTTAACATTTTCAAATTCCGCGCCAATATAAACCGTGTGAAGTTGTAAGCATAAGCAGTAAATCAGAACAAAAGATAAATTGTAATGAGAATGCAAACTTCAAATTGAATGCTGTTAATATATTTAACTATTGATAGAGCAATATAAACCGTATTTTTCGAAGTTTTAAATATAATATATTGCAATAAATATATGTTTTAAATTTAAACATTCAAATAAGGCGCCATTACCGCCCATCCTATGTTCTAGCGCCTCTACCGACTAATAATACAACTATACTAAAGAAGGTTTCCAGAATTATATACTACGTTCATTCTTTTCTTCCGACATCAGCGTTGACTAGTCGACTCCATTACAAGTGCATGGCCAAACATTAAATTGCTTGAAAAGCTTAAGTAATCAAGGAGAATGAGAGCTAAGGTTAGTGAAATTAATTTTCTTTATATTTATATTGTGAGGTGTATGTATTTTTTTTATAATCCGTGTTGAAATTTGAGGTTTTGGGCACGGATGAAATCGCCATGGAACGCGTGGTATTTTAATTGTTCGTAGAGTTTAACGTGAGCATTAATAGCTTCATGCTATTTATTATTTATGTACAAACTGCGTTTTACTTCTATTTGATAATGGTTTAGTTGAATTATTCGTACTTCGAAATTTATTTTCAACGTGGTTTGTGATTAGGTTATGTTCGGAAACAATATGTGTACGTGTAGTTCAATCAGATAATACTTCATAAGGATAAATAATTCAATTTCAATTAAAATTGTTGCATTTTTTAAACATATTCTATAAAAAATTCTGTGTAGTGTATTTTTGTAAACGCCATGTTCTCTATTGAATACTTTTTATAAAAGATTATTTGTAGTTGATTTCTAAACTATAATTTTATTTTTCAGTGGCGTAAGAAGAGAATGCGCAGGCTAAAGCGTAAACGCAGGAAGATGCGTGCACGTTCCAAATAAGCTAACAATATAAAATGTAAGTACATACAATTAAATCCCATCAGTCTTGATCATTTAGTGACCTTTTCGAGATCAGTTTACTCATCTTTTCTCATAAGACTTCTCCCGATCCCTTTGTATGAAAATTTGTAGCAAATTGATTTAATGCTTCATCTTTTCCTGCGGAGGGAGATTAAAGTGGCAATTTCCACCTGCATAGCTATGTAGCTGATGGCAGAACTAAGGTTGCCAGACACTTTGTATATATAATTAATATTTCATTAGCTTAGTTTACTGTTACTATTTCTAGATTTTAATCTATTTTCTTTTTGTTTCAGGGTGCGCTTCTGAATGAAGATATGCTACTTGTATTGTTGACTTTAATATTAAATAAATAAGCTCATTAAAAACCCAACTTGGTTGTTTGAATTTCAACTTTCAGGATATGTATTACAAAATCAATTATTTAAATGTGCATATTTTGTTAACTCATAACTTTTGTTAAAATGAAGTATTTCATTACTTCATATTTCATTACTATTAGTAATGATAATTCTTTTAATGATAACCGAACAATTAACTTGATCATTAAGGGATCACAATCTTTAACAAATCTTTGTGGCAGGTTAATACAATTCTTCAGTTTTTGTTAAGTCGTTAAAGATTTTAAGTTTCAAGTTGCATTAAACTAGTAAACTGATACCTTGCATCGTAGTCAACATGCATCCTTCTGTAGTAAGTTTTATCAAGTAATTTCAAAATTGAATCAAATTTTGAAAATGATGCAGACATTTTTCTGAAAAAGCTGATAGTTTAAATTTGTTTAATATACAGAACACACATGGTAAAATAAAAAGTATATATGTGACACATAAGTTTTTTAATTTTGGTCGGATTTTCTGGAGAAAAAGTAAGATCTTAAATAATATGGTGGGTTGTGTCTAATTAATGTGCAACTCATTTTCGATTATTTATTTATTCAATCAATAAAAATTCGATTAACTCATATGTTGAGCGATTCATTAAATTTTTCAATAAATTCATAAGTTAAAATGTTTAATGAAACACAATAATATTTGCTGTTTCTTAAAGATCTTTTCTAAATATTTTTGACTTGTGTACTTAGCATTATTTTAAAAATGGCTCAACTTGTTTAATCGTGTCAAATCATATATAACTTCAATAAAATCTACATGACTCCGTAGACTTTTTAAAATGATTGAATTATTTATCCCAAAATTATTTTGGATGCATTTTAAAAACTATATAAAAATTTGTTTTATATACAGAACACACATGATAAAATAAAAAGTATATATATGACACATAAATGTTTTTTAATTTTGGTCGGATTTTCTGGAGAAAAAGTAAAATCTTGAATAAATATGGTGGGTTGTGTCTAATTAACTAGAGAGTTTGTAGTTATTATTCGTATAGTTTACAGTAGAACAACTAATTTTCAATTCTTTCTTATTATTCTTTTAATAACTGTAATTCTATAATTTTCTCATTTAAAATTGTTATATTATATGTGATATATTAGTGTGTAGTAAATTTATTTATTAAAAATATATATAAATTCTTTAATCATTTTAATAAATTTGGTGGTTTAAGTAATGACTTGGGTAATTTTATTCTTTAAAAATATTATTGCTGTCAATTATTTGTTTAACTTATTTTAGATTTATAGAATAATTTAAGAAGTAAATGAACTTTTTTATATATTAAAAAAATTGAATATTATTTATTGTATCAAAATATTATTTATAAGTCAAATGTAAACTTTCAACAATTGGCATTCTTTAAGTGCTCATTCAAGCTAAAGTTATATATATATACCCAGTAAACACGCGATGTGATCTTCTATAATATCGACATCGTTATTATAATGCAGTTATCGAATCTACGCCACAAGAGGATTTTAAACTTGCGTGCGCTTGTGTGTGTTACAATACACGCAAAGCTCGCATTGAGTGACATAAACACGCGCTGTCGGGGGTAATGACATCGTTGCATTTCATGTGAGATACATGTTGTGCGCTGGTGTGTGTTAGCACACATGCAAAGCATAATCAATGACGTCACACGGCGTGAAGCAAACGCGTCGTGCGCTGCGTTGTGTGCGTTGTGTGCGTTGTGTGCTGGTGTGTGACCATACAAAGAAAGCTTTACATCAGCGCGCTGTGGCCACTGGCTGAACCGACTCAAGCGGGTTGACTGTTCCTTTGACGAAAGCTATCCTAACCGCGTACAAAATGGCGCAATATGTCAGGAATTTGTCATGTATCAAGTTATATTTTCTTTGTATAATAATTACATTCGTTTAGTTAAGCAACTTGTTTATAGTGATAATTGTTGAAAAGTGTAGAAAAATGACACCGTAAGTATATCATATATTATTTATATAGATATGTAATTACTTCACGATTTTGAATTCCATTTAGTGCATTATATCCTGGGATGAAGAAACGTTATTTTATGTCGATTTCTTTAGATGACAAAGGAGGTAACCAAATAGCATATATTACAAAATCTGAGGACAATAATAGGGATCGTTTAGCAAGGTTAAAATAATTATTTTACCACATTAGGACATTAACATATCCATGTGTTTGACATAACCTCACTTCTTAAATCTCTTAAATTAGTCGGTGGAGAAGTGGCTCGAGGATGATTGTCTGAATATGTAAGTCACTATAAATATAATAACTATAAAAATATATATAAACTGCAAACACGTATGCCATGTTCATATTTATTTCAGAAGTCGTACAAAATTGGAATGAAACGGTGAACAATATACAGATCTTTAGACAGGCTTAAATAATGTATGTGTAGGAGCAACTTGAAGATGATGGAGATTTATCTTCTTAATATGTAAGTTGATTCATATATAGTTGCTGTATATACATTATTTGGTAACAAATACATTATATTTATAATTGTTTTAGAAAACCTCTAAAATTGGGAACAGTATGTCATGTATGCATGAACTTGATGTACCCTAGCAATTGATGTATAATGAACTGGAGATAGAATGAATTCAATCAGGTTAAAAAAAATGTATGTGCAAAAGCGACTCGAAGACGATTTAGATTTGTCTCCTGAATATGTAAGTTGCTACACATATGGAGTGGTATATATATTATTAGATTCAATAAAACACTTATGTTTCAAATTGTTTTAGAAAACTTCCAAGAAGTACATCATATATGAATATCCGTATCCTCGCATTTGATGTATCGAACTGGCGATGAATGAAATCAGTCAGTGTTAAAAATGTATGTGTAAAAGCGACTTTAAGATGATGGAGATTTGTACACTGAACATGTAGGTAGCTACACATATGGTAGCTGTATGTATATTATATATACATTATATACAGTAAATCACATGTTGAATTTGTTTTAGAAAACTTCCAAAAATTGGGGGCAGTATGTCATATGTGCATAATCTGGGATCTGGCATTTGATGCAATGAACTGGCGATAGAATGAAATAATGAAAAATAGGCAGGCTGTTTGATGTATAAGGAAGTGGCGATAGAATACTTATGCAACACTTCACACTTCACGCCCCAAAAATAGAATTACGTCATTAGATATACAACAATTTCATTAAATATACTGTTATTAATATGTTAAGATTGAATAATTTGTAAAAAGTTTTTAGTATAGTTCATGTTAAAATTTTATAATTTCAAAACTACAATTCTAATTTGTAATATTTAAATATTGTAAAATTTCTGATTATTCACGTAAATAAATGCTTATTCGTACAGAAAAGAATATTAATTGCATACGTCATCACTTTCAGGTGCTATTACGTCATAACTGAGTCGCCATTTTGTATGACGTCATGACCGAATCGTTTTCATTCGCAATGACGTCATGACTGGGGTTAACGCCTTACGTCAGACGGTCTTATCATAATAAACAAAACATATGGGTCAACGTCGATTTTCATGTATCACGAACGCCACGTGCGCCAGAGACCGAACCTCGATAGTTGTTCGATAGTTACATAAATTTGCGGCCGTATCCATTAATATCGAGGAAAATGAATATGGGAACCGCATGTCACACGACCTAAATAAAATATTGCCACGATGTTGTGGCCATATCGCGTGTTTACTGGGTATATATATATATATATATATATAATTTATATATATATAACAAAAAGAGGCCATAAAAGTTATTTTTAAGATTAAAATTATTCAAGTCATATACATAATTGTATGTTTACATAATTCAATGAAATCGATTCGTTTTTATTAAAATAGTCAAAATTGATCAAGTTTTTCTGTTCAAAATTATTGCCATCTTCATAAATATAATATTTATCATGTTTTCCTCAAGGTATTATGTTTTAATAAACAATAATT